CTAATGTATGAAATATGATATGTCAAGAGCTTTGTAATGTTGTGAACAACCAATAAAAAAATAAAAAATTTAAAAAATAAATAAATAAAATGTTTAATCATGTAAAAAAGAAAAAAAAAGAAAAGAAACTGCTCCTTTCCTGCCCTAGTCTGTCTTCTGTCTACCTGAGAAAGCAGCCATCTGGAGAAGATGGAGGTAGAGAATGTCAAACTCCAACAAAAACCCTCACAGGCTCTCTGATCAGGAGACACAGGCCAGGAAAAGACAGGGGATTCCAACCCCCCCACCCCAGACTGCCAGGGACGCTTTCTTACCAAACTCGCTTGCACAGAGATGTTCAATGATGGCCTCAGATTTCAACTCATTGTCACATGGAGGACACACAGTTGTACCTAAGAAGGGAAAGGGGAAGAAACAGAAAGCTGTAAGTTATGAAAAGAAAACAACCCCTGGGGAAGAAATGGGCCTGGGACCAGGCTGAAAGTGGTTCAAGTCTTCTGGAATTTGTAAAGGATGATCTGAGAATAGAAAAGAAAGGCTCTTGAGCCCAGAATCTAGAGCCACAAACAGTCCAATCGTTTCTTGCAACATTTTGGCCTAGAGGAGCTGAATATGACACATTATTTAAGGTGTCTGAGGTAGATGGAGGCAGGTCCTGTGAATCATGACTCAGGGGCTATTTCGAGTCCCTGGGAAAGGCTTGCTTATAAACGAAAATAGATCTAGTCCATTATTTCCTGTCCTTTGCCCTCTCCCTTTTAGGCCCCTCTGATTTCTGCACCCCTCCCCCATCATTTGCATACTCCCAACAAGACAACCTATCAATTTGAGACCAGCTCTCTAGAAGCCAAGAGAAAAAGGAGTCAAACTTACTAACTTCAACCCTAGGGCCCTGAAAACCCCTCTCCAAAAAGGTCACTTCAGAAAAAGTTAAAGGCTGAGCAGGAAGCAGAGCAGCTGGGTGGGGGTGGGGAGACACTAGTGAGGGCCGCCAAATGGGAAGATGGAGCTGGCTGGGGAGGGACCCCTTGAAGGCTCTTTCATGAGCCACTGTGAAGTGCTTTGAAGAAGTGTGTGTGTGTGTGTGTGTGTGTGTGTGTGTGTGTGCGCGCGCGCGCGCACTTGCATGCCACTGGGAAGCAGCAAGGCCCCAGGAGAAGAAAATTCTGAGACCAGGGCCAGAGGCTTTCTTCAAGTCAAAATGCTGTCAAAGCTGGGATCCCCCTCTGTGGAAGGGCAGAGAAAGCACTGCAATGGAATCCTCCAAAGGATGAAGTGACTTATCATCCCTGCCATGGCCATCATTATCTATCAAACAATGTGAAGTTTATGGAAGATCTAAGAGCACTAGCACATTCTGAGGACAGTCCACTCCTTTCCCTCACATTGCACAGGAGGTCCAAGCTGTGCTACAGAGCACAGGAAGGTCACCTTGAGACTGAAGCCAAGGGAGATGGAAGACCAAGTAGGGTTTCCTGTGCTGAGCATCTCTACCCTTTGTCTTCCTTCCCCATTCCCTTCTCCAGTGGTTTCTGTAGCAGCATCTCTTTCCCCTAAGAGATTCCCCATGTCTCTGACAGCAAAAGCACCCCAAGGTGGAGGAGAAGGCCGCCACCATCAGGGCCACCTGATGGGCCTGGTTGCTCCAAGAACTCTCCAGTCTTCTAAGCAGGGGGCCTGAAGGGGCCAGCAGAGCCACACCTCTTACTCTGATTTAACAAGATGCCTCTTCTATCTGTGCTGTACTGCACCCAGGACCAAACACCTTTCAGGTTTTCAGGGCAGCAAGAACCATACTCCAAACAAACGATGGCATGACAACCTTTAGGCCTGATGTTGGGAACATATTTTGCACCCAGAACTTGAAATCAGGTTTTAGAGGTAATGCTTTTGGACCAAAAAAAAAAAAAAAAAAAAGAATTTTCCATTATGGTTCTTGTTCCTTGGGAGAAGAAAAAGAGAAAGGAAGTCCTGCAATATGGAAAGGACCATGTCACCCATACCAGGACTATGAACCTGCTTTGGGATTTTTCTCATTTGGATGTTCTTACATTTGCTTTGTTTTAATTTTTTAAGTAGAACTTATCACATTGCAAGTTTCTACAAACATAAAGTTAACCAAACAAGAAGCAGGTCCGTTTCTGCTGGCTCCACACATTCACTGTAGCCCCTCTCGGTCCCTCTGGTCCCCTTGGCAGTCATAGGCTCTGCACCCCACAAGGGTATTTTCCTCAGTCCCATCAATTACATTTGGACTTCATGAATTCCAAGGAAAAAACTCCATGGGGCAGGGTGAACTCTGTGTGTTTCCAATATGGCTTTCCCTCATCTTGACTTTTCTTACAGCCAGACTCTGGAGCAGCTTTATCCAGAGAAAGAAGGAGGAATGTGTAATGCAATATTAATCTGCGCCTCCTCGTGTGTCCTTGGGGCCCTGCAGGCTGCCTTGGCAGGAGAAATCCTCCCAGGCTTTCTTTCGTCTGAGAGGTAGAAGTAAATCACTATTTAAAAGTGTGTTTAAAGTCATGTTTAAAGCAAATGAACAAAAAAGAAAAGGTTTTATATTTTATTAATTTTTAAGGGAGAGAAGAGGAGGAAGCCCAACACTGGGAATCAAAATTAAGTGAAATCTTTAAAGACAACACACACATACACACACCACCACCACCACCACCACCACCACCACCACCACCACATCTTCCCTGGCCAACTCATTGTGAGACAGAAAAGGAACACTAAGGAAGATTCTTGGGGAAGTGAGGGCACCATCACCTCTACAGTCCGACTAAAACATCCAGGCTGATTTAATGCACAACATGCCTAAACAACAACTAAACTTAAATGTGATCACTCATACAATTTGAGTCAGTAAAAACTGGCAGGAAAGGGGAACAAGTTATTGGCCTGGGAGTTTAACAGGTCTAATGTAAATGTAAGATTTAGAAATCACTTTCCTGGAAAAGGAACAATTGCCTTTCCTATAACAGAAGTTGTTGTGACTTAGGCATCTGCCTTTGGGGGGGAAAAAAATCTTCTGAGTCATTTCTTAATATCAGGCTTATCCTTAATAACAAAGTGCTGGCCAAAACTGTATATGTCCAAGTATGTGAGCAGAAACCAGACTAATGTATGCAAATACAAGACCCGGCTTTTAAAGTCCAGTTTTAATTTGAAAGAATAAAGGGTAAATGGAGTGTATCACAGTGCTTATTCTCATTCAAAAGGTCCAGTTTTTGTCCTGGAGCCACTAGCTATAAAGTTTTGAGGACTATTAGTTTGGTCTGTCTCAGCCTGACTCCTACACACACACACACACAGCTTGCTCTTAGCTCTACCCTCAGCTGAGAGTCAATGGCCAGAAAGTCTCAGGGGAAGTCATGTGGGGCTCCCTCATACCCAGGGGCTGCAGTCTTGAAAGGAATGTGTGCCCTCTCAGGAGGACACTTCCCACCAAAATCGCTGAGAAGAGAACAAGTCCACAATCCCACTCTTGACTGATTGCCTCACAGCCTTTCTGTGTTGGTTCAGCAAAGAACTGGTCTTAGGAAAGTAACTACCTGAGCCCAGAGCAAGAAGGAGAAGACAAGCAAAACAGCAGCCACAGGGTAAAAGGCATTCAGAAGTCAGCAATGGCCAGGCATCCCTCTGCCACAGCCTTTTTGGAAGGTTGGGTTGGAGGATTCTTTCCTCTCATTAGCAGGCCCTAGCTCATCTAGCCCCACCACCACCTCCACCTCGTCCTTAAGAATCATCTACTTTGCAAAACGCTATTCCTCCAGGGGTCTCCACTTTATGTCCACCTTCAGTCTCAGAAAGAGGCAATCATTTGTGGCCATGGGGAATGGATTCAGCCCAAGCAAAACTGACCACAACCTCTCAAGCATGGCAGGACTGGGATAAACCCCCAGCTGGCTGAGGAAGTAAAGAAGGAAAACCCTGCCGGCTACAGGGGATGGTTCTATACCAACAGAGCCAAAGTGCTTTGCTCTGGGTAACTGCTCAGCTCTTGCTCTCAAAGAGCTATACCCCACTGCACAAGATTAACCCTGAGAACAGAGGTGCCAGAAGTCAACATTATAGGCAGGTTGACTCCTATTCTTCTTCCCACCCCCAGCGCCGGGGCCAGTGGTGTGGAGTGGAGCCCATGCCACCCAACGTTGGTCACTCTGGATCCATCTCCCTCCCTAGAATAAACAAGAGTATTCAAACTTTGGGGCAGCCCTCTTCCCACATCTCTTCCAAAGTGAGGTCACCACTCACCCCTCTTTTTTATCATCAACAACAGAGGTAAATAATACTGAATACTTCAAGATAAGCTAAATTCTCCCCACTCCTTAAGGAGCCCTCAAGATGCTGGCCCCTGTGCTAAGCATACCTGGGGCATAGCTCCCTTATCCTGGATTATCTGAGCCTTAACTCTGCTTTAGAAGAATTCAGGGTTGGATTCACTCCTATAAAAGGCCCAAGGCTGGGTTTTGTTTGTTTGTTTGTTTGTTGTGGGTTTTTTGGTTGGTGTCCCCCACACACACACCAAAGGAAAAAAAAAAAAAAAAACTGTTTTTCTCCCATTAGAAAACTGCCCTTTAAAAGGGAGGGGCCTCTGAGAGGAACCTGGAGCTGTTAAGAATTTACAAAGCCCAATTTGCAGCACCCTACTCCCCGTGGAGGAGATGAACAATGAGCTAATTACATTTTTATCTTTCTAATTACCTGAGGATTTGTGTAAATGAGAGAAGCAGGGGGTATGCAAGGATGATGGAGAAGAGATTTTCTACCTCCTAAACCTCCCAGATTCAGGAGCTGTTACCTGAAATGGGGTGAAGAAACAGAAATCTCCAGTTTCTAAACTTTTTTTTTTTTCTTGGCCAGTTCTACAGCAGCCCTAGGACTACTTGACTGAATGACCAGCTAAGGAAAGAAGTTTTTGTTTGAATCCTCTTGGAACCTATGAAAATAAAACTGCACCTAGCATTCTCCCGATCTTTCTGGGCTTTCTACATTTGAGTTTGGGGGTTTCCTACCCAATTTCCTGGTTAGGATGTTAAAAACTTTGGATGGGGGCTTGGTACCCTCCCAAAAGAAAGTAGACCTCTCCTTTTTACTGGAAGGGTAATGCTTTGTTTCAGGTATGGAAAAAGAGACTGAATCCCAAGAAGAGCTGCTCCGGGGACCGGACCAAGCCTCTGCGGAGTCCGAGGCCGAGAGCCACCTCTCCTAAGCAAGCCACACCGGGCACCTGGGTCTCGAGAGACCAGAGCGACACTTCGGGCAGAATAGGCGCTCTTAAGAGTCAGTAGGCATACCTTCAGAGCAACGTCTAGCAGCACATCTCAACTACAGGGAGGAGTGGTGGGACGGGGTGGGCTAACCAGGGCTCTAACGTCGCCCCGCTGAAGCCCTGGCGGATCCCGCGGATAGCGCCCGCTCTGGACACGGGGCTCAAGGGAAGGGACGCCCTTACCTTGAGGCTTGGAGGCTTCGGTGGCATTGGGCGGGGTCATAGCGATACAGACGTCTCCTTCGGGGAACTTGTCACACTTGAGCATCTCTGGCCAGAAGAAGCCGAAGAACTGCATGACCGGCTCGCACGAATCGCGCACGGCCTCGCAAAGCCAGCGGCACGGGTAGATGGGCCGGTCGAGGCAGACGGGCGCGAAGAGAGAACAGAGGAAGACCTGGGTGCCGATGTGGCAGTTCTTGTTAAGCAGGGGCACCCAGCTGCTGGCCTGCTGTTTCACCTCGGCCATGGTCTCGTGCTCCAGCAGGTTAGGCAGCACCATCTTCTTGTAGCCCACGTTGTGGCACAGCCGCAGGTCCACTGGGATGTCCACGCACTGAGGCGGCTTGGTGTAGAAGCGCCCGCTTTGGTACGAGCCGATGTCCGACTGGAAGCTCACATAGTCGTACTCGCTGGCCGTGCCTGCGGCCAGAAGCCCCGCGGCCAGCGCCAGCAGCACGCCGGAGGCTGCCCAGCGGCGACCCCCCGCGCCGTGCCCGCTGCCCATGCTGGCTCAGAGCACTAGCTGCCGCGACGTCGGGGCTGCCTGCGTTACCTTCACGCGCGCGTCCCGCCGCAAACTTTCCGGATCTCCAGGGACAAAAGGAGCCGTCCCCAGCCCTGCCCAGCACCGAAGCCGCGCGCTCCTGCCGGGTCTCCCGCCGGTGGCGGCCCTCTGCCTGCCGCAGGCGCTGTGGCGGGAGTTCTCACCGGGAGCGAAGCGCAGCGCGGCGGACCAAGTGCCGTCCCGGCTCCCAGGAGGCGCGGCGGACTGCAGGCGGGCGCGCGACACCTCCTCCCGAAGCCGCAGGACTCGAGTGCGCCGTGCTCCAGTGGCCAAGCCCTCGGAGTCTTCCCGCGCAGCCAATCAGCTCCCGGCTGCCGCGAGCGCACTCATTACCCTGTCAGTCACCAACACAATTAACCAATCGCTTCACGGGCGAAAGGATTTGGTTTACTAGAACTAGACATAGGTCAACACCCCTTAAAAAGCAAAACCAAAAAATTAAATAAATAAATAAATAAACGAAGAAGGAAAGACGAAAGAAAAGAAAAAAGGAAAAGTAAAGAAAGTAGGGTGGGGGTATACATACAAGTGCCTAGTGAATAAAGAGAATGTTTAGTTCTGTAGTTAACTTGGGTCAGTTTGGGGAAAGGCAAAGAATCTTAATGGGTCTTACAGATTCATAAGATTACATTTTTTTTTAATGCTTTTTCCTAATTTTCTAACAACTCACCAGACTAGCGGCTCTGCTCCAAGGTTTTGTTCTCTGTAGCAATAATATAAAGACCGGTCTTTTCTGGGCTAACTGGGAATTGGGAAGGCTGAAGTTGAGGGGTGGGGGCTGCTTTTAAATCCCCAGTGTGCTCAGTTGGGCTCCCCGTGAAGATGAGAAGGTGGCATTTGGTGTTTGCTGCATTTAAAATGCAACATCTTGCCTATTGGGACAACAGGATGGTGGTCTTCAACAGCACCCCCAGCAGTGGATAAAAGTTGCTCAGTATGGTGGGAAATATTGCTCACAAAATTGTTAGCTTCGAGAGGACAATTTTTTTAAGCTTTAAAATGAAGTTTAAAAACCCTATTCAAGCCCCAACCCAGCTGACAGCATGTCTATGTGTGCAGGCATATACACAGTGACATGTTTGTGGTGTCGAAAGTCAAAACATTAAAAACACATGTGCACCTATCATTGTGGCTTGTGTAAATAACAAGTCATGGCTTGGGCACACATGCTACATTCAGACCCAGTCAAGGAAGCTTAGGTCAAAACCAAAGGTCCCCCACGAAGGCAGAAGCCAAGAGAACAGTCTGAACAGAAACCTGGCTATGCTAGTCCCCAAGAATAGAGTCTTGGGCTGGGGCTGTAGCTCAGTGGCAGAGCACTTGCCTTGCACATGTGAGGCACTGGGTTGGATCCTCAGCACAACATAAAAATAAACAAATAAAATAAAGACATGCTGTCCACCTACAACTACCAAAAAAAAAAAAAAAATCCCAGAGTCTTGCTGCCTTCCCCCACCTCCAAGTTCCTGGATATTCTTTGTATGTTTCAAACATTCCCCTGACAATAGTCAAGCTCCATAACTGAGCGGGTGAGCATAAAGGATCCCAGGGGCAGAAGTCAACAGGAAACATTTTGTGAAGTTCACTGGTCTCCTTGTCAGTGTCCTTAAGTGTGGGAAGAGGGAAGCTTCTGATGCTAAAAATCATAATGAGCAAAGGGATGCTACCCCGTGTGGCAAGTGAGCCTCAGATGTTAACTCTCAAGACACAGAGAGGCTGCCCTATGAGGGGCTGCCTTGCTGGGCCAGCTTGTTTGTAAAGCTCTCAGGGAAACTTGCTTTGGACTCTGCAGACTAATTTCATAATGGACAGACTCCAAGTAAAACAATTAGAGTTTGTGAAGAAGAAGGGAGGGCTATTTTCTTAAAGGAATCATGCCTATACAGAGGTTGTATTTACACCATGCACTCAGGAAGCATCTGTGGATGGTCAACTTTGCTCTCCTCTCTAGGCCAATAAAAGCTGACCCAAAGCCAGAGGGGCAGAATAGGGGGAAAGACAGGGAGAATACAGAGCAACACTTTGGATGCCCAAGGGTTAATCCCAAGACAATTAGTAATGCTCAGCCTGAGGAGCTATGGAAGACATTCCTCACAGAGAATAGACCGCAGGAGACCAGGCAACTGTGTCTCAATTCAAGGGGCATTTAGAGAAAAATGCTGTTTGGTAGGGGGTCCTTTTCTCTCCTCAGGACAGGCTCTCAGTTCTGAGCCAAATGTGTCTGTTTACTTACTCACTGGAAAGATTGGTGTTTGTAGATAACATCCTCTCACCCTGAATCCAGACTAAGCTGACCGCCACACCGCCCCCACAATATTGACACAATTTTCCCAAATGGTAGGAGGACTTTCATCGATCAGCCATTAAAATTCTGGAAACCCAGAGAAAATTCATTCTGGCAATTCATCCAGGTAACTGCCTCCACCAACCCTGAAGTGTCTCAATGCAGGAGTTGCTGTTACTCATCCATTCATGGGAAAGCCCAGCATGCATCTGGTCACCCACATTGACACTGATCACCCCAGTGCCCAACCTTCTTACCTCATCTCCTGAGGTCTTCCTACTTCAGATATGAGTCTCACAGGGCTCTGCCTGGGACACAGTTGTCTCTAGGTCACACAGGGAGTATTAGTATTACTAGACACTAGAATTCTAAATCTAGTACATTTCTGGTTCCTTACAAGACTCAACTGAAAAGAGAGAACTGTAAGTTCCACTATTAGAACAGACTCTAATCCAGTCCCAGGATTTGGGGAAATGATGATTGTCAAGTTCACATGTTGTATGTAGTACCCAGTGGAATAGGCTGATGCCTTTTTATGATTTAGAGGTGCATACGGTATTTTTGTCCCTTTTAACAGTTTCAGAACTTTACACTTCGAATCCAGTCTTCCTTTCTCTAATGGTGTATGTGTGCGTGTGCACATGCACACACAGGAGAAAGTTCTAGAACAAAGACTCTAAACATGCTATCGACTTGACACACATCTCCTAGAAACCATGGTTTCTGCGTATGAGAACTGTGGGACAAGAGAAACTCAGGCTTCCCTGTTTCTCCAATAGTTTAAATGAACCAGGGAAAAATAAAGTTTAAAACTTAAATTTCTCATTTTGAAAAAGTTCTGATTTTCCCACACTGCAAGTTTGCAGTAGATGAACATTGGAAGTACATTCTCTGTTGCTTCACAGAACCAGCTTAAGGAGGTATTCTTAGTCTCCCATCGCTTGAAGCTGATTATCCAGTCAAGCAGGGTCACCAGGAGCCTCCCGGTGCCAATCTGGTGGCCTCTTCTTGAATAAAACTGGGAGGGGAGGAGCCTTCCCAGCCCGTTGCTCCTATTCTATTCTATTATCATATCATCAGTGACTTTTGAACACTCTCCAAAGATACACTCAGCATCCGCTCCATCAGCCAGCAGCATTACACCAGCACAAAGGGGCTCCTGCCTGTGGCTAGGGATCAGGGTTGAGGAGTGGAGTGGGGGGGGCATGGGTCTGGCACAAGACAGAGAAAAGCATTCTGGCCCAGAGTCAGGAAACAGGAGGTATGGCCTCAGTTCTGCTCCTAAGAGGCTGGACAACTCTGAAGAAACACACTCCATCCCTCTGGCTTTAGAATTCTCCAAAACATAGCTATTCATGCCTGTTCTGCTGTCTCCTGAAATAATGGGTGTTAGTTCTCAGCATCTAGGCACACAAAAGGTGCCCCATCGCGCTTTCAATTGTTGAAAAGCTTAATTTGGTACAAGATGCCATGAAGCTCAGTGATGTTCTTAACTGGAAATCTTTTCTATACCACCATTGTGGTCAAGCAATCTCAAGCCCCCCAACTTGTTCAGGAACTGATCTGACCTGCTATTGGGCTTTGGGAATGTCTGGGAAGAACATTAAAAAGTTGGGGTGGAAGGCAAACTCTAATCCACCTCTTCCTATGTAAGTGTTCCTCTGTCCCATTTTTGATGGAGGATAGCTTGGCATCACAGCTGCCATCACTGGACCCTTTTGCTTCTTTAGGACATGGACACCACATTGAAGCAATCCACCAGAATGTTCTTCCTTCCCTGGAGAGAAACTGTACCCTGTAATGGCTACTCATGAGACTATCCATGCATTGGTTCCTACTCTCATCTACCAGAGTAACCTTGAGAAAATGCATTCAGCCATGCCCTTAAATGGTGAGGCCATGCTCACAGTTTCTGCTTCTCTGCTCAGATGGACATTTCAACCCACTCTCCAGATGACACTTTGTCAAACTGGGCTTGACAATTTTCATTCATTCATAAATATAGTCATTCACTCATAAATATATATTCTATTATCATATCATCAGTGACTTTTGAACACTCTCCAAAGATACACTCAGCATCCGCTCCATCAGCCAGGAGCTTATATTATCTTCCAGGAAGGAGAGATCTAAAAGTAACAGATATAATTTTAACATGATTTGTAAACTAAAAACAAAGCTATCTAACTGGCTACTTCTCAGATTCAAACCCTCATAGACTCTTGGACAGTTCCACAGGACAAAGCCCAAACTCTAGTAGGATTTCAGGATCTTACCCTCCAAAGTCTCTCCACCACCTCTTACCATCCCAGTCTCCAGTCTCAAGGAAATACTTGCACTTCCCCAACCTACCTGCTTTTTCTTGCTTCCCATCTTTTCTATGTACTATTCTTCCATATTGTTTTTTCTGTCTCTAATGTCCTCCATTTCCTTTATACAAACTTCTTCTCATAGAATTCATGAAATTAGCAAATAAAAATATAAGGTTCCCAATAAAATTTGAACTTCAGATAAGCAATGAAAAATTTACAGTATAAGTATGTCCCATGCTATATTCAGGACACTCTTATACTAAAAATTTATTTCTTATTTATCTGGAATTCAAATTTTACAGAAGTCCTATATTTTATCTGTTAAACTCATGTATTCCTCCTTCTAGTATGGCCTCTCCAAGCAGACATGCCTGGTTTCCTCTGTGCCTATCACTTCCCTCCTCCATCCTTAGTCAAATTAATAGCCCTCTTTTCCCTGTGCTCAGAGCCTGTGCACACATCCCTATAGCACTCAATCTACATCTTATAACGGCTGACTTCTTAGTATATGCTATGTGTCTGTGAGCTCTTGGAGAGCCAGGACCTTGACTTATTTGATCTGTTCCATGCCTGCATCCCCAGCATCTAGCCTATTGTATATATTGAATGTTCAATAAGTACATATAAATAAATATGTAGTAGATGGAGACAAATATGTGAAATACC